CCCATAAGCCAGGACCTCCCACTCGACTCGAAGAAACTTTGCCCCTTTTCTTCGCATAGGAGCCAGCCTGGTTCACCTTAGAGTGCTGACAGGTAGGTGGTGATCAGTTGATAGTTCGGCACCTCGTTTTACCCGTACATCCAACACAGAGCAATTAAGGCCTGATGATACGATGAAGAAATCGATCATAGACCCCTGGTGCAAAGTATCCCAAACCAGGTATACTTATGCACGTCCCTGTGTTGAAAGAAGGTATTCACGATTACTAGCCCATTGCTGGCACAGAAGTCGAATAATTTGGCGCTTCTGCCATTGAGGTTTCTGTCACCGATCCTCAAAATCACGCCCTTCCATGCCTCGGTGTCATTTCCAACGTGAGCGTTGAAGTCCCTCATCCACCTCGTCCAAGAACGCAGTGTACTCTGATTCAGCGTTTGGTGCAAAGACCTTATATGATGGTCATAGATGTTCCGCATTCGAGACGTAGCCCGACTAATATTACTCTCTTGCTGATGGGCGCCAATTGAACCATTCTTCCCTACAGCCGGGGGTTGTGAGTAACCCCACTCCCGCCTGGGATCGTAGAGATGGGTTGACACCGGAATAGAAGAGCTTTCACCCTTCTATATCGAGCGTTCTGGAACCACATCTCTTTGTAGACTCCAACTATATACAGTATATTAGGCCCGCCAGTCCAATTTGTCCGGCTCGCGAAGTCCTCTTCAACAGTTGGTTATGGAAAAGTACTGCAAATTTCAGCCTGTTTGCATTAAAGAATAGGTGTTAGGTTTTTATTGTGGCCCCTAATCGCTCCTGAAGGCTTCCATCCGTCCCCCAGCCTTATCGAATTTGACACCCCTGGTGTAGACCTATGTGACTTGCTACTGTGGCATTGCACCGTCCCCTTATGCTCGCCATGATGAGTTAGTTCATCGCTAGTTACGATAACTGAAGTCCAGGTCGAGTCTCGTAGCTCATTCGGGTTGAACCTGGCCGATACCCAAGAAAATAGTCGGCCACCAGACGCTCGCATGGCACTACCCCTAGGCATGGCTCGAGGGGTAGACCCCGGTATTCCACGTCCGAGAAAGGTTAACGAATTTTCGTTTGTCGACATTTCATAAGGGTTTTGCAGAGGCCCGTTGGAGATACCCAGAATGCACGAGGAGGACGTGGGCTTCGCTTACATTTCCACTTTATGCCAGAAAAAAAAGACTAAAATATTTATTTTTTGAAAGGCTAACGTTTTGAAAGGTCGCTCGGATAAGAAGTAATTATTGTTGAAAGCGAGAAGTAGAGGTATTTCGCATATCTCACGACAGCGGTTTTGGCGCCGCTCTTTCATTTACAGCCAAAAATTTGTCACAGCTGCTAGTGCAGTGTTCTCAACTGTGAATCGTGATCGTGGCGCAACCGTGAAAGGGAGGCTTCTACGTGGTGCGAAGAGGTACGTTTTCAAAGGGGTTCTCATAATAGGAGACGAAACAGGAGACAGTCCACGATTTCTTCTAAAACTCTTCCAAACTTTCCGGTTGTTCTCTTCGAAAGAAACGTACGGTAGCGAGACCTTTCTTCCGAGGCCGAGGCTTGATGACAATGCACAGTCAAATAACACGGCATCGACGATGCAACCATAAGAAGCAGGCTCTTTTGCATCAAATGAGAGAGGTGTTATGAGCAATGCTGAAACCGCTCCAGGAGCCACCTCTTCCAGACCTCCATTTCTCGCTCGAGCTTTAATTATTCTCATCCTTTTAATTATTTTCATCATAGAGACGTAGGGACTCCTAACTTTCAGGAAGGAAATGTCTGAGTATTTTCTCTGCGATAAAAAGTGAGGACCCTTGCATTACATATCTCCGCTCTCGCTGAAGCTATTTTCACGAAATTTTCATCGTGCGTAGATGGATATTTTCCCAACATATATACAGGGTGAGGCAAAAGTCACCGTACAGTTGTTGAATAGAGAACATAGTTTCATTTCTAACGTCATATTGACCGTTACTCACTGCAAAAACACAAATAACACAGGGAAATGATCTTGCAATGCTATTTCAAAAGTTAATAGCTTTATCCAGCAGTATTACTCTGAAACAAAGAGGGTCAAATTAACAAAATAGCTATTTTCAGTATATATATGAACTGTATGGTAACTTTTACCTCACCCTGTACATAATTGTCCAAATGCACAGCTTACAGGAAAGTCTGTGAACAATGATTGAAAAAGACGTTAAACTATGAAAATGGACAGTACCCCCTATGCGAGTATAGTTCAGGCTTTTTTCTGTTTTAAGAAAGATGATACCGATTCGAATTATGAACCCCAAGTAGTGAAGGTAATGAATTGATGTCAGATGAACGCCTGATTGACTAGATTTACTAACACTGCACGAGGGGTCAAGAATGGTTCATGGACATCGCAGTGGGCAGTGCTAGACGGTAACGAAATAAAAGTAACTAATTAAATTTTACGGTTATTTCAGTGGTAACGAGTTACTTCTCAGACTTGTAACGGAAGCAGTAACTAGTTCCTTTTTCGAGGGAAATGTAAATGGCGTTCCCGTAATGCGTTACTTTCTTGATGGCAGATTCAACTTCAGATAAAAGCAACGAGCGCTGTATTACGGCATTCATCCATGCCATCACTGGAATCACTTACGAAATTGAAAATGCGGTTTGGATTCGTTTGACAGTAACCAATCAGCATCGCTGTGGAGAGGCTATTTAGCATAAGCGGGGTCTTTTCTCTTGTAAGAGAGAATTTCTGAGGCCAACTTGGAGAAGCAGCTCCTTCTGCGAGCGGGTTCAACACATACAAGTGCACCGCATGCTCGCAACTCCCGAAAGAGCGCCAGCTCAAATTTTTTGCATCCTCGCATTGTAAATACAGAGCTGCATCCCTTGGGAGCACTCTCACGAACACGAGTCGTCTACGGAGAGAATTTCTCACGCTGAACGTCTTCGACACCAGCAGGTGTAAACCCTTCCTGAGATGCAATACGAAGCAAGTTCGGAAATTTCTGCGTCGTTCACCGGAATACTGCTAGAATGAACGACTGCGTTCCCAACGTAGGCGTGCTGTCTCCGAGGTTAACCTCTCCTTTTTCCGTTTAACTTATCGACCTAAAGGTTAACTACTGCTGCATTTCGTTAGTGCTCGAACGGGGAGCAGAACGGGACCGGGTTAGGAGGGGTTGGACGGAGCTAGAAAGGGCTAGTTATGGTTTACTTATTTCTGATATACTGCCAGAAGCATCGGGAAGATGCTTCTGTTTCGACTCTCAGGGAAACTAAGCTTCAAAAACAAATGCAGGAAATTAGGATGGTAGCGATGAGAAAAAGCGAATCGGAGTCCGGGGGACCTCACCGATGGCGTTGGGAAAAAATAGCGGTGGAACGATGTCGCTGGGCCCACAGCCCACCGTTTCGACTTTGTGCCTGTAGTCCCTCGTGTTTTCTGCGTTTCTCACCACGCATTCCTTCTCGTGATCCACGAAAGGGAAGGAAGAAGTATTGCTTCAACCTTTTCAACGTTTGGACTGTCGTTCTGCAAACCTTCGGAAACGACAAGAAGTTCTTGGAGAGACAAACCGGTTGGTCTAGCTTCGTAATGGGGTGATACGAGTTTTGCTTAAGGCTTCGGTCAAAATCTTCAGCGAATCCGGTTATTTTTGCAGGGTTTGGATTACCGAAAGTCCCCCGAAAGAAACCGTGGAACGCCGCGCATGAAAATGTGTCAAAGACGTAGATCTAGGACAGAACACGGGTAAATATTAAATTCGTTTGAAATGTTTCTCCGCCAGATACCCCAATGATTGTCGAAGCGAGAATAGAAGGCTGTGCGTGCAAGGGAAGCGAAGGTGGAAATAGTAGTAAGTGACTGGTCGGATGATCCCTGGGGATGATCGCTTGCCTCGAGACCGCGCGTCCCTCTCCGCCTCCACTCGGCTCTAATGGAATCCTATTTGCTCTTTCGCGGGAATATCTCATTTCACTGCATCGCATGTCTGATATTGGAATCGTCGTAACCGTAATAGAAGTAAAGATGGATGATGAATATTTAGCAGGAGAAGCCTAACAAAACGGAACTCGAGCGGTGATCAGCGATGACTTTAGCTATGAATTACGACGCCGAGAGAAGTACACCCAGAGGAATTTTCCAACTTCAAATTGGCTGTAGCACGAACGTAAATAAAACCTTCTGCGCGGGAAATGTGTTTAGGGGAGCACAATGGCGTCATTTCTCTGTCGAAATTCCTTTTCGATCCCTTCCCTTGGGTCTCCGGCACGCAACGACTCTGCCGATTGGGATCGAGGAACCGTCGGAATGCATGATACATCATTGGAAAGTTTCGTGGGGCAAGGAGCAGGGCAAGGTGCAGGGGGAAAGAAGCAGGGGGCAATGAGCGTGGGACGAGGACCCCAAACGCAACCGAAATTGCTTGCCGCGCGGTAGAGCCACGACTCCATATAATTTCCAAGCAGCATCGAAGTAGAAAGGGGGACACACGGGGATGTATCGTTACGAGGACACAAGGGCAAAAGAATCCTTTTTTCACTGGAAATGGCTCATTTTCATCATTTTTTAAATTTATTTTTCCTATTTATTTTCCCTCCGTAGGTCGCAAAGAGATCGTAGACGCAAAGGCCGAGAAGAGAACCTTGGCAAGGAAAGAAGGAGCATGGACTTCGACGAATACCGACGAAGAGGCGAGTGGACGCTGATCTTTTTTTTCCCCCCTCGGTCGAGAGAGCGGTGCGAGGGGTTTCCACGGAATCCCCGATCCCGCGAGAGAAAGGGGACAGATGAAAGGGGGAGAAAACAGATGTGGAGTGTTTAGTGACGGTTGCGATGCGTGTGGGAACGGGAGAGAAGGACCGGACCGTGATGAGGGTGGAAAGCCCAAGGGTCTCTTCACTCCCTCCGTGACAAAGCACTCCGCTCCCGATGGGACAATGAATTCTCGATGAGACCAGGTAATGCCTTTTTCCCCTCCCAGGGAAGGAGATGGTGGATTACATCGCGGATTATCTGGAGAACATCCGAGATCGGCGCGTGTATCCGGACGTGAAGCCGGGATACCTGCGACTGCTGGTCCCTTCTTCTCCTCCCGAAGAGCCGGAATCCTGGGACGACATCTTCAACGACGTGGAACGAGTCATCATGCCCGGGGTGAATCCCCCCTCTCCCCTTTCCCTCGAGATCCCCGGAGGAGCGATGGGATGACTCTCGTCCGTTCCGACAGGTGACGCACTGGCAGAGTCCGTTCATGCACGCCTACTTCCCGGCGTTGAATTCCTTCCCGTCCCTGCTCGGAGACATGCTGGCCGACGCCATCGGATGCCTCGGATTCACTTGGGTCGACCCATCCGTCCTTTTCGTACTCTCGAACTCCTTTACTCTCTTCTCGACCGATCTCTGCGTTTTCCTCTCAGGCGTCGAGTCCGGCCTGCACCGAGTTGGAGAGCCTGGTCATGGACTGGTTGGGGGAGATGATCGGCCTGCCGGACCATTTCCTGCATAAGAGACCCAACTCTCCCGGCGGTGGAGTCATCCAGGTCTCCGTTCGCTTCTCGCGACCATCAGCCTTTATTTTCTTTGACGACGTCAAACTGACAGTTCGGTTGCGGTCCGACCGTAGAATCGGTTACGGTGACGATCCCGTCACAGTTGCAGTGGACTGGGATCGTTAGATTTTCTCGAGGGGCACGCACTCGTCCGGGACTCCTCGGAACGGCTTCAGGAGGTGACGAAATCGTCTTACCGACTTGCTCGAGTTCCACGATCCGTCATCTTTCTGTTCGACGGAACAGAAAGATGACGGGAATCCTTTGGACATCGTCTATTGAGATTTCGCGAAAGCTTTCGGGCTAAACTGGAGGCGCACGGAATCCATGGTAGGACGAGTGACTGGATCGGTAACCGTAATGGTCGAGCGAGTGATGGTTAACGAAGGGGTGTCGACGGAAGTCAGGGTTGCAAGCGGAGTCCCGAGGGGCGAAGTCCGAGGAGTCCGAGGACCGCTTCTTTTGACGGCCAACATTAACGATTTAGATCAGGGATCGGGAATCTATGGCTCACGAGCCGAAAAGTTTGGCTCATTAAGTCATGGCTGTAAATCATGGTTGTTTCTCATTTTTATCATGTAGCACGTCTGCTGCCAACTTTTGAAAAAATTCTGTTCTGAAAACCTTTCGCTCACAAGCACTTGGCTCAATCTAAATGTGGCTAGCATGGCTAAAAAGGTTCCCGACCCCTGATTTAGATAAAGGCCTAACGAGTAAAATCTGAAAATTTGCCGACGACACCAAAATAGGTTTCTTCATGCGGGAGGAGGACAGGGCGAAATCCGAGCAGGATTCACGGCTTTTGGACGAGTAGAGGAGGAAATGGCTCATGAGGTTTCATAAAAGTTAGTAAGGTTCTTGACACGTCGTAACGACGATAGGTCTCCCGATGAGTTCGGCGTCGGAGGTCGCAGCCGAGGGAGGCAAACGGAGAGAGAGATTTAGAGATTACCATAGATGAGGAACTCGAATTCTCGCACGTGCAAGCAACGGTGCTGAATGTAAGAGGATTCTAGACGCAATCCGACGTTCCACGGCCAGCAAACGCTCGAGCGTGATTCTTCCGTTGCATGCGGCGCCGGTAAGACCCCAATTCGAGCATTGCGTTCGGTTTTGGAGGCCTACTAAAATAGGTGAACTGACGGCGCTCGAGAGGATCCAGAGGCAGGCCGCGAGAATCCGAGAGAAGGTAAAGAGACAGACGCACGAGAAGCGTTAGGATTCTACTCGAGAGAGTTTAGCGAGGGGCGACCTCATCCAGGCATTTAACGTCATTAAGGGAATCGATAACGTGGAGCGTGGTAGGTTTTTCCAGTTCGATGCTGGCAGCAGAACGAGAGGGAACCGATTTGAGTTGTTAGAACCCCAAGTGAGACGTAGGTTGCGACAAAACTTGTTAAGTTGTAGGGTGGTGAAGGCATGGAATGCGTGGGGTGACGATGTAGTGGCTGCCCCGCCTCGTTTTAGGAAGAGGCTTCATGTCTTCGTGAACAAAAGGCAGTAGGTGGCTATATTCCCCACCCAAAAAAATGTTTATCTATCTTCAAGTGGGGGAAGCCTATCTTACAATTATCAGAACGCTTGACCTCGAAGCGGGACGTCACATTGGACGGATAAAAAACATACCTCTTGACGTCCTTACTAAACCTTGAACCTTGAACGATGCAAACCGAATTTAAATCCGTACGATGGAATCGAGGCGTAAGAAATGCCAAGCGGTTGGAACAGCCATCGACCCAAGTTTTATATTCAGACCAAAGTCCGGAGAATATCGTACCGGTAGCGGACGCAGTCCCCCACGACTGTCGTTCGTTCCGATTCCGATCCGTTCCACTGCATCGTTCTCGACACGAAAACCGGAACCGAACGTCCGTTTCGAAACCGGCCGTCGTCTCCGAGGTGCACGTCGATCCGTCTTTTGTTCTCGGGCCGCTCGGATGCTTCCGCTGGACTCAGACGACGATGAGCGAGGCGACGTTCGTGTCCATCCTGGCCGCGAGGACGGAGGCCATGAGAAAATATCAGAAGAGCTTCCCCAGTCTCGAGGACGCCGAGGTCAACTCCCGACTCGTCGGCTACTGCTCCGATCAGGTGAACACCTTTCCTCTTCGGACGGTAGCGAATCGGTCCGGAAGCGTCGAAAACGAAAACTCCGTTTCCGGGGCATCTCGAGCGACGTGACGTCTGCAGATCGTCTCGCTTCCTTTAAAGCTTACGGCGGAGATAATTATACGAGTCCGAAACCCTTGGGTACAAAACGGCACTGAAATCGCGTAGGGTGGTGATCCCCCGTCGGCAAGAAAATATCACTTTTGGGTTGAAAACTGATCGAACACGAGAAATCGAGGATGGTGTCCATAGCCCTCCACGAGGGGGATGGGAGCAAAGTATTCCTTTGGCAAACAACAACAAAAAATTCCTTAGTTTTTTTTTCCATTTCAAGTGAAAATGTAAACCTTGTAACGTCGAATGGAATACAGAGATGCGAATCCAGAAACGAATCCTGTGATGAATCCAGCGATGGCTCGACTGATTTGACCGAGGCAGTTCCGCTCCGTTAATTCCAGTCGCGAAAGAATTATAAGTTCCTCTTGTACCTCCATCTGGAGATGAAACGAGGTTCGAGCTCTTCGGAGATTTTCGACACCGGCTGCAGTAGATCATTTTCTTTCATTTCATTTTATGTCGGTGACACTCGATGGGACAGTGTTGCATCGCGTCCTCACGCTTCCAATCACTTCTTTCGGACGATTGCCCCAAACGTGACGACTGGTCAACGGCTGTTAAAAAAAAAAATAGGAACGTTTTCACGGTCATCTGCAGGCGCACTCGTCGGTGGAGAAGGCGGGACTCATCGGGTTGGTGAAGCTGCGATGCATCGAGACCGACGACGCACTCTCTCTCAGAGGCGACAAACTCCTCGAGGCCATCCGAAAGGACCGGGACAGAGGACTCATTCCCTTCTACGTACGTGCGGCGACTTCCATCCGATCCTCTTCGCGTAGTGGAGTTCGGGGATTTCATCGGGTTGCGTGGTGTCTGGGGACAGCTGTGCGCGACGTTGGGGACGACGGGGGCCTGCGCTTTCGACAACCTCGAGGAACTCGGACCCATCTGTCCGTCCGCCGAGTCGCCTTCCTTCCTGCATTCCACGGTATGCACTTTTTTCGCGATTCCGCGATTCTACCACGGCTGTTGCGTGTGCAGGCGAGAGGGAGGAGCTGTGGCTGCACGTGGATGCGGCCTACGCGGGGACGGCCTTCATCTGCCCGGAATTTCGGGCCTGGCTACGCGGCGTCGAATACGTCACTTCCATCGCCTTTAACCCTTCCAAGTGGATGTTGGTCCACTTCGATTGCACCGCCATGTGGTACGTCCGTGTCGGTCTTCGACGATTCGCGTCAGTTCTCGATCGTCAGTAAATCGTACACGGTTCGCCGCCGTCGGCTAGGGTGAAGAACTGCGGGTCCCTCCATCGCACCTTCAACGTGGCGCCGCTCTATCTCCAACACGAGAACACAGGTGAGGCGACTGGGTTCTAGTAACAAAGTCTTTCCATGCTTTTATTTTCCGTACCGAGTCTCTTCTCTATTTTGCTTCTAGGTCTGGCCATCGACTACATGGTGAGTCGTTTCGATCGCCGCGTTGCGATTCGCTTCGCTCCGTTTAAAATAGACGATCGTCGATGACACGGTGACTCCGGTGCCCTTAGCATTGGCAGATACAGCTGAGCAAGCGGTTTCGGGCTCTCAAGCTCTGGTTCGTCATCCGAAACTACGGCGTGAAGGGACTTCAAGCCCACGTTCGCCGGGTGAGTTCCTCTCGTCTTCGGCTCGGATTCGTCCGACGGGCAACGCAGATGAACGTCGTGCGAACAGGGCGTGAAACTGGCGGAGGAGTTCGAGCGCCACGTGAGACGAGATCCTCGATTCGAGATCCCTGCCAAGAGACACCTCGGCATGGTCGTCTTCAGGCTCAAAGTCCGTCCGCATTTCTCTTTCTCTTTCGTCATTCCCTCCCCCACGGCCGCCGGCATTGAACGAACGAACGGCTACGAAGGGGGAGAACGAGAGGACGGAGGCGCTGCTGAAGCGGATGAACGGCTCGGGTCAAGTGCATTGCGTCCCGGCATCCCTCAAGGGTCGATACATCATCCGGTTCACCATCACCTCCACCTACACCACGTCCCAGGACGTTCGACGGGACTGGGAGATCATTCAGGCCACAGCCGATCTCATCCTTCATGCAAAGCCTAGGGTCCCGCTCGCGGGTACGTCCTTCGCAGATCTCGTCCTTCGTGCAGGACCTAGCTTCCCCCCCCCCCCCCCCCCCCCCCCCCCCCCCCC